ATAGGAAGAGGAAGAACAGGACCCACAAGAGAATCACTAAGCTGCACTCTATTTGAACCCTTACTGCTGTGGCATGAAGGCTTCCTTAAGAAGAAAGGAGGCAACTGGGGTGGGTTTGGAACAACTGCAAAATCCAAAGATACCTTCTTCTTCTCCAAGAGCACGTCAAAACATTCAGAATAACTACAGAAGGCCAGCTGTAAAAGTTCCATAGGTAAACTCGCCCACATTTGCCTCAAAGCAACCTCAATTACACTTGTTAGCAAGCTAATTTCATTAAAAACAGCAGCAATGGCAGGGGAAGACCGGAAGCGACCAAATCCACAAACTTTCAGCTTCTCACACAAAATTTCATGGAAGTCTAAGCTATATTCCTTCTCTAAAGGACCCTTAGAGGACATTCTCATTTTGGAATCTAGGATTTCAGCAAGATTTCCATTCAAATACCCCTTAAGATATTCAAGCTTCAAATATTCGAATCTTCTGGAAAATTTGTATTCCTCATCTTCAATGAAGTAAAGTAAACTAGACTCAAAATTCAATAATGATTCCTTGTGGGACTCATGCAATATTTTAACCAACTCCCATGAAGCAGAATACCTCTGACCTTCAAGCTTTCCTGAAGACATCAGCCTAATTAAAGTAAACCCACCAAATTCATCTGACTCAGATAGCAAATTGGAGAGATCCTGGTTAAGAATTCCAAATCCAAGGACTATCTCTTTCTTTTGACGCCAATCAATCCACCCAGGAAGAGCATCCTTTGCAAACTCTTCTCTTACAAGACAACTTCCACAGCAACACTCTCGAACAGACAAGAAGAGATCGGAAGGTAGCTCCCATGAGAAAAAGGGTTTGCAAGGCTTTGAATTCCCTGAAGCAATAGACTCTTCACAAGCTGGCAAAGAAGGCCCATAGCAAAATAGCCTAAATTCACAATCCCAGAATGATCCTAATATGATGCAAAAACCTGATTTGGTAGCCCACTCATGTGCTTCAGAGCATGCTTGTGATCTTAACTCGGATAATTTAAACACATCAATGTAACATGGTCTACCAAGATCATGAGCCCAATACAAAAGTGGCATCAATGGCTTACGCACATCACAAAGAATTAACAAACTATTGGAAGCCAAAACAAATTGAAACCCACTGGATCTTGCTCCAGAGAATGCAAGGAACCGTTCCTTTTCAACGGGAGCATACAACCTCAACATCTCAATATTTGCTAAACAAGTTATGTTAGACTCGTCAAGCCTTAAATCAACAGAAAATACTGCATTAGTTCCAGCAACAAGCAGAACCCTAGGATGCCAACTAAACTCACAACCCAGCCATTTATGGTTCTCCAAACTAACTGAATCATCCCATAAAACTCTCAATCTAGACCCTTTGAAGCAGGCATTTGGTTTTTGAGATCTAAAATAAGTTTCCAAATCAAACAAGAATAATGAACCATCCTCCAACAAAACCATACTCTCTTGGGGCAAATGTGGACTCCAACAAGCTCCCGCAATGGAGCAAGTCTTGAACAATTTAAAACCCAAATAATCTACAACAGGACTGTTCCTAGACTCAGCAATTTTGATACAAAACCAATGAACAGAATACATAGTACAAGCCATCAAATACCCAACAACAACATCAGGAGTAGAGTTACCTAAACAATCGCCAAACTCACCGACTGGGTTCACCAAAATTCTCAAAATCTTTTGATTGAACCGATACTTTGCCACAAAAACGTCATTGTTTTCATTACATACAACCTCCAATTTACCCTCTTTCACTTGAAGAACCAAAAACCCAACTTGGTCATGGTTGGACCCAGTTGAGAAGAACACGAGAGCAATGTTCTGGTCCGGGCAGTGAAGCAACCGGAGGCGATTATGAAACAAAAAAGACGTGGCAGCAGGGTCATGATGGTAGGAGCTTGCGCCAAAGAGAGAAGCAATGGAGTGTGCCGTGGAGAGCGGGAGAGAGGATGTGGAAAGAAACCTGGACAGGGAGAGTTGAGGAGTGGGATTGAGGATAGGAGGAAATAAAGACGGAGAAGAGAAAAGGGGTTCTAGTGGGGTATTGGGTTTAGGGTTGAAGCAAAGGGGGCCTAGGGAAGAAGAAGAGAGAAGCAGTGGCGGCTTGAAGGAGGTGCGAATTGGGAACTGAGACTTCCATTCGTCCGATAACTCCATTAGGTTTCGTTTTGATACTCCAATGAACTTTAAATCAGGGAAAAGAAATCTAAGCTAATGTTACTAAGAAGATTGAGGGGGAAAGAAACGAAGAAGAACAAGAAGGTTGAAAGAAGATGAAAACAGCGAGGTGTTGAGATGCAGGGGAGACGAAGATGAAAAGAGTGAAGGCGGACTGCTGGAAAAACAGAGGAATATTTTATGCCTGGTAGAAGGACCCCAATGAATGATACCTTAAGTATAGGCATGTCAATGAACAAAATGTCAAAGTTCAGGAACCACGCATTGGCTTTGACCAAAAAAAAACTACCAAACTAAGACGCTAGGCTTGGGGTGGGTCTGGGTGCAAAATCTCTAAACAAACAAAGTTTTCTATCTGTGTCTTATCTTGATCTTCCTTCCTCCTCAACCTTGTTTTCCTTCTTGGTATCGCCGTCCACCGCGCTGCAGCACCGGCGATTCCGAATCCGGCACTGGTTCATGTTAATTCAACGGCGCTTTTAGTCGTTGTTTCGATTTCTCGACCTGTTTTTTTGTTGGTGATAACAATGGATTTTTGGCGGTGAAGGTGGAATAAACACTTCTGATTTTATTTATTTTCATTCAGGTATAAACTTAGCGGCTTTTTCTTCCTTTTCCTTATTTTTTTCCTTATTTTCAGAATTCAGATGCTTTAATTTTAATCTTGGAATGAAGAATTGGATGGTTTTTAGGAGCCATGAAATTGAATTTCGGACAATTAGGAATCTTTTCTTGTTTCTTCTTGGGGCATTTTGACTCTGAGTTTAGTCCGTTCATATAATTATACATAGACAAACACTGCAACTCCTGATTGTTATTTTTTCTGGGTAAAACATGCTGAAATAACTACACATTAGAATTTCTGGGGGTACACTACCCATAGTTATCTGTAGAAAGTAGGAGACTAAAAACCGGTGGAGGTTCAGTACATAAAACGTAGTTACCAAACTAAGTACTTAGACATGGCATCACGTGTCAGGTCACCTTCTCAAAGATGATGGTGAATGAATAAGATTGGTATGAAGCTCATATTTCTGGTTTTACAAATTTGAAGAGAGCATTCCACTGATGCTTGAATCATGAGAGTTGATAGATGTTCACCTTTTTTGGTCAGTCGATGTAATTTATTTTATTAAACGCTTTGTTTAATAAATATGCAGGAAGGATGAAGGGTGTCAGAGACTGGGTTTCAAGTCAGGTATTATCAAGATCTTTGGCCTCCTCTAGACCATTGTCGGGCAGTGGTAGTTTCTTCCCTGAGGCATCTGCAGATGAAGAATCTGATGATCAAGGTATGGTCTTCTGTCTTCTCCTTGATGCGTGGTGTCTATCAAAAGAGACACATCCTTAAACATATCTGTGCATTTTTAACTTGCAAGAGATGGTAAGGATAAAAACAATCATGATTAAGTTAACTCACTTCCCCCCCTTTCTTCCCCCCTTTCTAGATTTGATGTGTATATTGATACCCTTTAGTTTTTCTTATTCCTTTTAATTGGCAAACCAAATTCTTGCTTAGCTATTGCAATGATTTCCCTAACCTTGTACCCAGAACAAAGGTTTTGAGGTTAGTTGGTATTCAATTGCATTTAGTTTGTTTATTGAGTAAGCTTGATTCAAGTTGATTTAAGGGAGTCTAAAGTTAAATAAATTACATTGATTTCTTTTATATAAAATTTAAAATTTTAATTTCTGGAAGAAAGTTATTTGACTTGTTTTCTTTTTAAGATATAGGTTTCTCTTAATAATTTGAAGGAGAATTGTGAAACATTCTTCTACTGTAGCATGCTGTAATCACATGCACAATGGGAGGATGTGAATGTTGTACTGGATCTGTGATTCCTTAGTTATACTTCACTTTTTTTTGTTATTTTAGTATTTATGATCCCATAGTTGGCCAAGAGAGAGTGTTTATGATCCTGTTGGTTAGATACAGTGTAAGTCATGGTTGTCTGACAAAAATGCAATAGTACCAAGCTACTATTTATCTTATCCAGACATTTTTCTGTAAAATTGTGTTAGCAATCTTCGAGGCACTATGTTAGTGCTTTTAATTAGTTATATTTCCATGCCTCTGGAAGAGGAGATATTTGCAGTTGATTATCATAAATTGTGTAATTGCTTTGGCATACTTTTGTGTGATGTCCTATGTCCATTTAATGATTAGCCCATAATAGTTCTTAATGTTAAAATGTTATGATCAATTACTCTATGTTGGCTAGCCGTCAATTATATATGGTTGTATGAAATTCGATTATCAATAAATTTAAGGAAAAGTCTTACTTTCTTGTTGGTAGGTTCTTCTCCCAGCTTGGTACCATCAACAGTACCTCCTGATGCATCATACTCTTCTGATAGTTTTCAAGAGAATCATCCTCATCCTTCCCCAAAACAAACTTCAGTTGAAGATTCTTATCTATCTCATAATGTTGCTGATGAAAAGAAAATGGATCCATTGGCAAAGGTTGAGGATCTACAGATTAAGTTCTGGCGCCTTCTCCTAAGGTTTGGGCAATCTCAAGACAATCTTTTAGTTGCAAAGGTTTTGTATCGGATGCACCTAGCATCCTTGATACGAGCTGGGGAATCAGATTTGAAAGGAGTGAACTTCAGAAAGGATAGAGTCAAAACAATAGCAAGAGAACAGGAGGAAGCTGGTATGCCTGAATTAGATTTCTCTATTAAAATACTTGTTCTGGGGAAAACAGGTGTTGGCAAGAGTGCAACCATAAATTCTGTGTTTGATCAACAAAAGACTGAAACTAATGCATTTTGCCCTTCCACCAATCGCATCCAAGAGGTTGTGGGGACAATCAATGGAATGAAAATTACATTCATTGATACCCCTGGTTTACTACCCTCTTCTACAAGTAATTTGAGAAGGAATAGGGAGATTATGCTCTCTGTGAAGAGATTCATCAAAAAATCCCCCCCAGATGTTGTGCTATATTTCGAGCGTCTTGACCTGATCAACATGGGTTATAGTGATTTCCCCCTGCTGAAGCTCATGACTGATGTTTTTGGTACTGCAATTTGGTTTAACACTATTCTTGTCATGACTCATTCTTCAATGGTTCCTGAAGGTCCCAATGGGTATTCTCTCAATTATGAATCATATGTGACACAATGCTCAAATTTGGTTCAACATTATATACACCAGGCATTATCTGACACAAGACTCGAAAATCCAGTTCTTTTAGTGGAGAATCATCCTCTGTGTAAAAGAAATTTCATGGGGGAAGGTATACTTCCAAATGGGCAGGTATGGAAAACCCAATTCTTATTATTATGTATGTGCACCAAAGTTCTTAGTGATGCCAACACTCTATTGGAATTTGAAGGTAGCATTGAGCTTGGGCCATTAAATGGCAGTAAGCTGCCGTCTCTGCCTCATCTTCTCTCATCTTTTCTTCGTCAGCGCCCAGTGTCAAGTCAAGTTGAATCAGAAAATGATGTTGATGAGCTACTACTTTCAGACATGGAGGATGAAGAAGATGAATATGATCAGTTACCTCCTATCCGAATTCTGACAAAATCTCAGTTTGAGAGATTAATGAACTCAGAGAAGAAGGCCTATCTTGATGAATTGGAGTACAGAGAGACCCTGTTTTTGAAAAAGCAGTTGAAGGAAGAGTGTCAACGTAGGAAAGCAAAGAAGCTTTGCAAAGAAGGAACTTCTGCCCAGGATGATAATTATGACAATAAGGGATCTTCAGAGGCTGTTCAGTTACCAGATATGGCAGTTCCTCCTAGTTTTGACTCAGATTGCCCAGTGCACAGATATCGCTGTGTAGTTACAGATGAGAAATGGCTGGTGAGGCCTGTTCTTGATCCCCAAGGATGGGATCATGATGTGGGCTTTGATGGAATAAACTTGGAGACAGCTTTGGAGATAAAAAAGAAAGTTTTTGCCTCAATAAATGGCCAAATGAGCAAGGACAAGCACAATTTTCATGTTCAATCCGAGTGTGCAGCAGCCTATGCAGATCCTTCAGGGCCTACTTACATGGTAGGACTTGATGTTCAGTCTGCTGGTAAAGATCTGATGCATACAGTTCGCAGTAACATGAAGCTAAGAAACCTTAAGAACAATGTCACTGACTGTGGGCTTTCTTTGACGTCATATGGGAACAAGTACTATGTTGGGGCCAAGCTTGAGGATACCATATTGGTCGGGAAGAGACTGAAATTTGTAATAAATGCAGGAAAAATGGGGGGAGCAGAACAGGCGGCTTGTGGTGGTAGTCTTGAAGTGATCTTGAGAGGGATGGACTACCCTGTGAGGAATGACCATGTTAGTCTGTTGATGACAGCTCTCTCCTTCAATAAAGAGATGGTACTTAGCGGAGGGTTCCAGTCTGAGTTCAGGCCATGCAGGGGAATGAGGTTGTCAATTAATGCCAATCTAAATAGCCGGCAAATGGGGCAAATTTGTGTAAAAACCAGTAGTTCCAAGCACATGGAAATTGCTTTGATCTCAGTTTTCTCAATTTTTAAGTGCCTCTTCCGTAGAATGTCAACTGATAATAGAAGCAGGGAAACATCTGAAGATGAATAAGCTTCTAGTTTTTGCTTAGTTGAAAAAGGTTTGAGAAAACAATTGCAAATGAGACAGGAGGATATCGTAGAAGTGATTGGTAGAAGTGATTCCTGAATTTTGACTCTTTATTTGTTTTGATGCCTTGAGAAATTTATTTTTAAGGCTAGAATTTGTGGTTTTCACCTCATCGTCAGTGACCTGTAAGACTGAGATCACTATAGGGTAGCCAGTACCACTTGAGCTGCCAACCTTGGCAACAGAATCTGTGAATTGAAGCATATAATAGTTGTAGAGCAAGGCATGGAAAATGGGTTTTTGGGTTCCTTTTATAAATATGCTAGTTCAAGAGAAATAAAATGGTGACCATAATTTCCTTTTTGGTTTTTAATGGTCAAATATTACATAAATTTTTAGACATAACTGGGTTGCCTGATCTTTATTTGAGCAGGATTTTTATATTTCCTCAAGCAATTTTAGGTTGGATTGGGGAATGCCTTCAACATTCTAATCTAAAAGCTGATTATCTCTGGCTGGCTGGAGCCAGTAATTTTACGTTTTTCTGGAAGGAAAGTCGTGTCGACTTACCTCTGGTTGTATAGCAAATGTATTAGAATCGACTTATTCAGTTTTTGTTACGATACATATATTTTTTTCTTAGAATAGCAATCAACTCATTTCTTGAGTAAATTTAGCAAAATTGGACTCAATTCAAAAATTCGACCCAACTTGTCCGATATGGGTTAT